ATCATTAATTTTAATATTAATGAGATTTTATACTATTTGTAATAAAAGTCCAATAAAAGTTGAATTTCGATTACAGGATTTTAAAATGCAGTTTTATTACTTTTAGGTACATAGAGTGACCCCTATTGGGCTACTGCAATATTGCCAGATAGTCTTTGGGGGATTGTAAGAATCACTGGAAAATAATGATTTGCAATTAATGGCTTGTTTCTATATCACAAAAGGTACGTCTCAAGCACTTAAAAAGAGTTTCTGCAGTTCCATAGTCCCTATGGGCCACTAGAATGTGGCCCCCGGTGTTTATTTGCTGACCAAGGCTCTTCTCAGAGCAGGAGGGCCAAGTCCAGGTCTGGACCAGAGTCATCACCAGTCAGGAATGAAAGACAGGAGAGAGGCTGAGGAGAGGCCCTACCACAGAGAGCCCCGTTAGAAGAACCAGGCAGACCGAGGTCAGGGGAACCCCAAGATCTTCTACCTCATAGCTGGGGGCAGTGAACAGAGCTCAGTGCTCAATCCCTGGGGGATGGACGCATGGGGCACCTGGAGTCATGCACAGGCCGTGCACCTGACCACCTGCTCCTCCATGATGGTGAACTGGAGGCTGCCACAGTGACTTCCTCTGGCTCATCGTCCACCAACTTCCATGCTTTCCTGCCTCTAGAGCAGTAAAATTATGGCACCTGGCTGGCCAGCTAGACTACACTTCACAGTCTCCTTTGCAGTTAGGTCAAGTTCTCGCCAATGGGATGTGAGCACAAGTGATGCATGCCCCACTCAAGCCAGAGCCTTTAAGACAATGGGCCCATCTCCATCTCAATCTCTTTCTCCTTCCTCCTGCCTATAACCAGGACATGGGTGAGACCCAGCTTCACCCACGGAGAGGTTCATAATACTCTGGGGAATTGTGGAGAAACAGATGGAAGGAACCCAAGACTCTAAATGAGCTACCTGCCCAAAACTATTGTAAAAAAGAAATAATTATTTTTCTTTAAGATACTGGATTTTGCAAAGGGGGTCTCTGTTACTACAGCTTAGCTTCCCCTGACTAATACAAGGAATTTCCAAAATATTTGACAAAAGAGGAAGCAAGGAAAGTCACTTTGGAATCTAGAATTGTTGGTTTCCTCTTCATTAACAGCAGAAGGAACATCTAGTCTTATTGGGTTACATCTAGTATTTTTTGTTGAGCTTCTACTGTATGTCCAGTACTGAGGGAAAGTCTGAGGATACAGAGCAATAGAAAACAACAAAAATGTTGGAACTCTTTGACCCATCACTGTAGCATCACAGTAGGACTTCGGCGAAATTTCCCAGCTCACTTCATCCCATCTTACTGCATACCCTGTGTTCCAGCTCCCTGGGTCTACACCAGCTCCCAAAGATACCATGGGCTTGGATGTCTCTAGATCTTTGCTGTTGCTGTACCCTCTGCCTGGAATGCCCGTTCTCTTCTTTCTCACTGATGAAATGTCCCTTATTCTTCCAGACTTTCTCTGTGGTAGAGTTAACTCTTCTTTATTGGGTCGTATTGCCAGGAAGGTGCACATCTTTATTTTTTAGGTGGGCACCCAGTGGGTCCTATTAAACTTTGGATGCCCAGTACTGAGCACAAGGGCTGGCAAAGAACAGGGGCCCACAAACACTCATTCATTTGACAAACACCAGTCAGGTCCCCTAAGAAGGACAAGAGACAGAACAGTGAATAAGACACGCATCTTTGCCCTCAGTTTATGTTCTAGCAGAGGAGATGGACATTACACAGACAAATAAACAACTATGTAATTACACATGATGATGTATGATGTAAGGAAATGGACAAGGCATGGGGATGAGAGCTTTGGATGGGCAGCCACTTTCAGACAGGAGGCAGGGCTGGCCTGAGTGAGGAAGTGCTGTGTAAGCTGAGACTTCAGGGGTGTGAGAGTAATGGGGAACAGGAGGGTGTCTGTGGTGGGGACGGTGCTCAGGCAGAAGGCACAGTTTGTGCAACTGCTTGGAGACAGAAGAGAGCTTGATAGGTGGTCACAGGGAAATGAGCAGGGGGACAGTGATGGGAGATGAGACAGGGTGGTGGTAAGGATTTGGGGGTTTTATCTCCTGAGCACCAGGCAGCCATCCATGGCTTCAAGTAGAGTTATGACCCAGTCTGATTTCCATAACAGGAGAGGAGTTTACTGCAATGGTCCCAGCCCAACTTGATGCAGCCTTGGGCTCAGGAGGATGGTGATGGGGAAGGAGCGAGCCATATAGGGTCATGCTGTGGAAGTAAAGCGAATGTACTGGGTGTGGGAGTGGAGGGAGATGGAAGAGTCAAGGCTGACTCCTAGAGGCTTCCGGAAGGGGGTATGGGAGGGTATTAGAAGAGGTGGAGGAAGGGAAGAGGGTCTGTGTCTTCAAGAAGCATGGAGCCACAGTGATGGAGCAGAATTTGCAACTGAACAAGACCATGTGCCCCTTTAAACAAGTGCTGACAAGAGTGAATGAGGAAGAAGATTTATTTAAACTTAAAGATTTATGCTAATAAAGAGTGGAAACAACCTATACATCCAGCAATAGGGGACTGGAAATTAGAAGGCCTCTCTATAACAGACCACTCTGCAGCTCTATAAAAGAACAAAGAAACGCTAGATTATTAAGGAATTGTCTCCAAGACATATTATTAAGTGAAAAATTAAGGTGAAGGTATAAAACGGCAGGCATTGTATGCAACCATTTGCCTTAAAATTGAGGAAATACAGGAACATAAATATACAAATCTACAATACAATTTTTTTTTTTTTTTTTTTGCTTTAAATAAGCTATCTCTGGAAGGACACACGAGACACCAATAATAACGGTTGCCTCCAGGAAGGAGAACAGGAGTAGAGGGAGAATTTTGATTCCATATCCTTTTGCACCTTTAAGAGTTTCAACCACGAGGAGGCATTAACTATTAAACAACTAATAATTATCATTAAATATGAATTTAAAATCAAGAATATATTCCAGCCCAAAGATTAGTCAGCTATTACAGAGGGTGTTAGATCTGAAGAGCTGTTGTCAAGGCCGACTTCTTCCTGCTCCGATGAGCGCCCCCAACACTCCCTCTCCTCCCCGTCCTCCTCCCAGTCTGTACTCCCAGCTCCTGGTATTGGGAGGCAGCAGAGAGCTGGCTTTTTGCCCTCCTGTCCCATAAACCCAGGCGTCAACTAGGCTATACGATCATACGCGGGCTTCTACAGTTTTGATTGTTGCTATTAAAACTGATTTTTTTTTTTCTTGAAATCACCTAATATACAGAAAATATATGGTCAGTTCTACAGCAGTGAGTAGCCTAAATCAAGGTCAGAATCCCAAGCCCATAATGTTTCCACCAAAAATAGCTCCATGAGTCACCAGTCACCCCTACCCCTCGGGGAAGGTGAGCTGTTATTGAGTCCCCGTGCCCAGCCCAGGTAAGGCAAGAGATGAGAGAGAGAGACTTGCAGAGGCAGAGGTTGCATCTCCGCCACGGAGCCTGCAATCTAACCAGGAGAGAGTGAATGCCCCAGAGAAGTCAGCAAAACCACAAGAGCTCAATTATGAGGGCGGAAGCCTAGGAGATGGCATGAGGCAGAATATACACCAGACGGGGCTCCCCATGAGACAGCAGATGCTGAGGGTTCAGAGGAGCCTCCGGGAGGGGAAGGGAACCACACAGTGGGGTGAGTTATACACACCGCCTCCTCTCACCCTCCCACCCACCCAGGACCAGCGACATGATTTGTAGGACCTAGTGCTAAAAGAAAATGAGTGGCCTTTGCTAACAAATTATTAGGGATTTCAAGATGGCAACAGCAGAGCATTAAGCCAGGTACAGGGTCCCTCTGAGCATGGAGCCCTGTGTGACTACACAAGTCGCACACCCATGAAGCCAGCCCTGCAACCACCCTTCAGTGTAGGCAACCCAAATGAGGCCTCTGAGGTGCCATGAGGTTAAAGGAGATGCCTAAGGTTGCAGGGCAACATAGTGGAGGGGTTGGGATTTGAACCCCAGTAAAGCCCATGCTTCTGGCCCACCACTGCACTCTATTTTTTTTTTCTTTTTTGAGGCAGTCTTGCTCTGTCACCCAGGCTAGACTGCAGTGGCATGATCTTGGCTCACTGCAACCTCCACCTCCTGGGTTCAAGCAATTCTCATGCCTCTGCCTCCCGAGTAGCTGCGATTATAGACGCCCGCCACCATGCCTGGCTAATTTTTGTATTTTTAGTAGAGATGAGATTTCACCATGTTGGCCAAGCTGGTCTTGAACTTCTGACCTCAAGCAATCTGCCCACTGCACTCTCATAATAAGAATAGCCAACCTTGAGTGCTCACTCTAAGCCAGGCAGTGTTCTAAGCATTATTCATGTATTCATTTAATGCACACAACCACCTGCAAAGTACCATTATTATCCCTATTTTACAGATAAGGAAATAAGCACAGAGAAGTCCAGAATGTTCCCAAGGTCACGCAGCTAGTGAGTGGCAGAACTAGGGCTCAAACCCAGGCGATCTGACCCCCAAAGCCCACTCTCCCCGTGCATTCTCCTGGGAGGGTTGGGAGGGTTCCACACAGAAGGTGCAGCCTGTGAGGTGGGTTCTGAGGGCCAAGATTAACTCAGTTGACTAGAGTGAGCAGGTCAAATAGAAAGTACCGAGAGAAGCTAGAATGTTTACACCTTGCCCTGGCTTTTTTTCTCATGACAGGCAGTGACTAATACCAGCAGTAGAAAAATAACCCAGCCCAGTGCAGCCCCCCAGTGGCATCCCCATGAAATTGATGGATACATGAGCCCCCGCAGCCCATAGCCGCCTGTGTGTCCTTGCTGGGGAAGCGGGGAGAGGGGTCAGGAGGAGAGGTGCACACTCAGCAGCGCTGGGAAACTGCATGTTGTGCTTGTGGCTAATAGCAAAAGACAGTGCTTTAGTGGGAGGCATGGTGGACCCCAGAGAACTGACAATTAAACTGACTTTAAATCCTGGCTTCTTCTCATCTCAGTTCTGCGGGTGTCCAGGCTGAGTGCTCTGCCATGTGGCTCACTGAGTCACATCCTCACACAAACCTTCGGAGAGAAGTCCGTTATTCTTCTCATTTTACCCATCAGGAAGCTGAAACTCCAGAAACAGTAAGTCACTTGTCCAAGAACACCCAGACCGGAAGGGCACATTTCCATGTCTGCATCTCAAAATGAGTAAGTTGCTAGACCACATAAAATTGTGTTACCCCTAAAATAAGACACTGGCACAGCAGCTGGTACACAGTAAGTACTCAAGAAATGAGTAGTATGAAAGAACCCACCCGACAGGCGGCTGCTGAGAACTTCACTTGGCTTCGGGCCGGTCAAACCTTCCAGCGTGGATGAGAATCCAGTAGTAGCAGGTTGCACAGTTTCAGTTTATCTCAGACACCCAGAGTTTGGACCTTCAAGACGCAGCACACAAATGGATGTAAATGAGATGCAAATCAAGCTGTCCCCAGATTAACAGGAAATCAAATATCTCTAGCGATAGCTCTTTCCTCTCCTTATGGAGATCAAGGGCATGGGCTGTCTCTGAAGGCAATCCAAAGCTCACATCTGTCTGACTTCATGATTACCACCAGCTCTCCCAGACAGACAATGCCATCGCCAAGCACTGCCATGGCAGTGCTTTCAGGGGCCCCGATTCCAGGGCCTTATTTCCCCTCATCCTCTTTGAGGAGTGAGGGCCTCACAGGTTTTGATCTTCGGATCAGAAGAGAAGGTGAAATTTCTTCTTGCTCAGGACTTGGCGAGTGAGATCAGCTCTAAGTAGAGGCCCTGTAAGAGGCATCTGCATGGCAACAGAAATTAGAACTGCAGTAATGTGATGTAACAAGAAATATATACTTGGTTTCTGCCCCCGGTTCCAGGCACAGAGCTCCTAAAACCCTTGTAATGTTCCGAGCAACAGGGGTGCAAGGTACCTCTTTTGTTCTAATAATGTTTGGTCTATGACCCTAGTTCCTGACCGAGTTCCTAATCCCTTGGAATTTCCTGGGTGATAGGGGCATTTTTTGTTCTAATTAGGTGACTCTTGTTGGGATGCTGGGTAATTTCAGGATGGGGGCTGGTCCCCAGAGAGACTGGGTCATAATTGGAAGCTTGGAACTTTCAGCTCCCTCCTCATCCTCCAGGAAGGAGAGGGCCTGAGGATTGAATTAATAAGTGACCATACGTGTGTGATGATGCCTTCATAAAAATCCCAGAACTATAGGGTTTGGAGAGTTTCTGGATTGCTGAACACAAGGAGGTCTGTGGAGGGTGGTACCCCCAGAGAAAGCATGGAAGCTCCACACCCCTTCTCTCTTACCTTGCTCTAGGCATCTCTTCCATCTGGCTGCTCTTCTGTATATTTTGTAATATGCTTTGTAATAAATGTGTAAACACAAATAATTCCCCTGAGTTCTGTGAGCTACTCTAGCAAAGTCATTAAACCTGAAGAGAGAATCATAGGAACCCCCACTTTATGGCTGGTTGGCCAGAAGTACAGGCCACAGTCTGGAGCTCATGATTCACATCTGGAGTGGGGGGCAGTCTTGTGGAACTCAGCCCTTAACTTGTGGGATAAAATGCCATCTCCAGGCAGATAGTGTCAGAAATGAATTAGAGGACACCCATCTATTTTCCCCTGGAGAACTGGTTGTTAGTGAGGAGAAATTCACACACATTTTGGTGAGCAGAAGTGAAGTGTTCTGTAGTGAGTGGTGTGTGAGTAGGAAAAGCCATGTGTGTTTTCCTATCTCTTATGATAACAACCATAGGCATCAATAGAGACCTGCATGGTATGATGAGATGCAGGGACAATGAGAGCTCTGCATGGTATTCTGAGATGCATGGTATGCTGAGATGAATGGTATGCTGAGAGCCCTGCATGGTATGCTGAGATGCATGGTATGCTCAGATGCATGGTACAATGAGATGCACGGTACGATGAGAGCCCTACATGGTATGCTGAGATGCATGGTATGATGAAATGCAGGGACGATGAGAGCTCTGCATGGGGTGCTGAGATGCACGGTACACTGAGATACATGGCACGCTGAGATGCATGGTACAATGAGATGCATGGTATGCTGAGATGCATGGTACGATGAGATGCATGGCACGATGAGAGGCATGGCACGATGAGATGCATGGTACGATGAGATGCATGGTACGATGAGAGCCCTACATGATAGGCTGAGATGCATGGCATGATGAGATGCAGGGAAGATGAGAGCTCTGCAAGGTACTCTGAGATGCACGGTACGCTGAGATGAGTGACACCATGATGAGATGCATGGTACACTGAGATGCATGGTATGAAAAGATGCAGGGTCGACGAGAGCCCTGCATGGTACAATGAGATGCAGGGATGCAGGGCCTTAACAAAATGCAAATGCAAATGCCTGCAGGTGACATGCAGAATGAAACCAGGAGTGTGGAAGGAAACCACCAGGGCAGCCCAAGGATGGCAAGTGGTATTGGACCACTGGTGCCTGGGAAGCAATAGGAACTGGGATACATCAGAGGACCTGCCTTGTCTCCAGCTGGAGCCCCCACTTGGATGGGGCCTGCTACTGCTATGTAGGAACTGCAGGCACAGATCATCTGATACTTCAGAAGAAGCTAATGATCTTGACTTGTAACACGACATTCTTGATTACTGGTTCAATGTGTTGTAACACCAATGAGCTTAACAAAAATTTGAGGTTTCTGGCTCATGGCTTCCTGCTTACAGGACCTGTATCAAGAATGGTTTTCAACCTTTCTTCTCGCGGACCCTTTGGAAATGCAATGAATACAAGTCAAAAGAAAAGCCCCGGTGTGAGAAGATATCTGCAATTCATGTAACTGCCAAGGATTGATTTCTAGACTATATTAAAATGAAACCCAACAAAAAACCCTTTATGAATCAATAAATTAAAAACAATACAACCCAATGGAAAAATGGGTAATAGACTTGAACTGTACTTTACAGAAAGGACACCCTAATGGCCAATAAATGTATTAAAAGTGTCAGATCTTATTAATCATCAAATAAATGCAAATTTAGCAAAAACATTGCCCATACACACACCTACAGGACTGGCAAAAGTGAATCTACCTAACAATACCAACACTGGCGAAGATGTGGAAGAACTGGCACTCTCATGCTGGTGGGAGTGTAAACAGGTAGAAACACTGTGAAAAATGGTTGGATTACCAATAGTCATCTTGCTTTTTAAACCTTAGGAGGATAATGATCTGGCTTTGGTGTATTAAAGCTTAATTATTTATGCTTGTCTGGTAAAACTGAGTATACACATACCCCATGACCTGACAATCTCACTCCCAATTATTTTCTTTAAACAATCTCTTGCGTGTCCACGGAACATTGTTCTTAATAGTCAAAACCTAGAAATAGCCCAAGGTGTCCAGAAACCTGTGTGCTGCATTGAGTTACATGATGGAAGACCAGGGTGCAGAGAAACAGAGAAAACCGTAGGTCCACACGTGGGCAGGAATAAATCTCAAAAGATCCCCTATATATTTATAGCATAAATTCACTAGAAGTTCAAAACCGGGCACGACTAAACAATATGTTGTTTTGGAATACATTCATAGGTGGGAAAACTATAAAGAAAGCCAGGGGAATGATAATTTTACAAAAATTGGGATAATAGTTATCTCTGGGGGAGAAGGGAGGTACAATCCTGGAGGACCTACGGGAGGAGGTTTCCAAAACATTGACAGGTTCCTATTTCTCTATCTGTATGGTTGGTACGCAAGTGACCACACCTATGTGGTGAAGCCTCCATAAAAATCCCTGAATGACAGGGTTTGGAGAGTTTCTGGATTGCTGAACGCACGGAGGTCCCTGGAGGGCAGTGCGCCCAAGAGGGCATGGAAGTTCCGCGCCCCTTCTCCCTTACCTCGCTCTATGCATCTGTTCCATCTGGTTGTTTCATTATTCTTTATATTAGACACATACACTTTATATATGCTTCTTTATATTTCACAACAAAGCAAATGCAAGAAAAAAATCAATGAATCTTCCTTTTACCATTAAAATTCTGATGAAATCCATGGACCCTATTTCCCAAACAATTAAAAAAAGATCCAGACATTTCATTTGAATACAGAGGGTTCATCGACCCCTTAAAGATCCCCTATGGGAAGGTTCCACATCTGGTGTTACAGTTGATTCACACCCCCATAAATCCTTGAGGCAGTGGCCATCTTTATCCAGAGCAGCAATGTGGCCCAGGAAACAACCTGGGCTGGGATGGTCCAGTGACGTCAGAACCAAGCCCGCACCCCTAAAGAGGAACTCTGCAAGTAGGCAGATCCCCCACAGTCAAACCTAGCCCCCTTTCCTCCCTACCTGGAGCATTTCCAGCTCCCTAGATCCCACGATCCTCCCTCTGCCTCCTCCTTCAGGGCCACACCTTTGGCCAACACGTCTAGCTGCTGGGGCCTCTGCAACATAAAAAAGCAGAGTCCTTTGGGGAAGAGGAGAGTAAGGAAACACCAGAAGGCAGCTAATTACTTGTGTTACAAATAGTCATCTTGCTTTTTAAACCTTAGGAAGATAATGATCTGTTTTTGGTGTATTCAAGCTTAATTGTTTAAGAGGGGGAATAAAAATCAGCTTCAAAACAGGGGGAGCCTAGAAGAAGAAGAAACGCCCTTAGAAGCAGTGTTGCGAGCTAGAATGGGACGACTTGCCATGTGGCATCGGGGAAGACACTTCCTCCCTCTGGGCTTCAGTTGCCCATCTGTTCAACGGAGGAGTTGCACTTCTAGAAGATGCCTAAGTCATCTGCACCCCTGACGTCGCGGGGTTCTCTGGTCACCAGCTTCATTTCTCTCTGCTCTGGAACTGTGCCAGATGGAGGCTTCCTCATAACCCAGTGCCTGACACATGGTAGGTGCCCAACTAATAGTGTGGTTGACTTGTACTGTGCTTACTCTTGTTCCCTAGTCCTCACACAGCCTATCGCAGACATGAGCCTTTAGCTGGTCCTCAATACTGCGTTCCTCATCCCTAAAATGGGAGGAACCATGTAGGGCCAATGTGAGAATTAGATAAAGTATGTGCAAGCCCCTTGCCCAGTGCCTAGCACACACTAGGTACAATTTAAATGGTCCCCATCTTTTTTGTCCTTGTTCATCATTCACCTGAAAAAGTTCGTCTGTTCTGGCTAATCCTGGTCCACTCCCTGCATACACAGACACAAGCACACGCGCGTGCACACAGACACATACACACAGACACACATGCAGACACATGCTCTTTCTTATGGAGCAGCTGCTTCCTCCCCAGGACTGACCATCATCCCACTGGATGTCCAGACAGTGCTGGGCAGCCAGGCACTGACTCGGCCAGTTACTGCGGATGGCCAAGAACTGCTGGTGGAAACAGAAAGCTAAGGTTCTACACCTCTCTGGATCCCTCAAGAGCCTCTATGTGTTAGACACAGCCACCAGGGTAATTGGGGGCCCCCAACACCTACACAACACCACATCTCCCTCAGGTCAAGGTCCACAAATGTTAAGTCAAAAAGTGAGGGTGATTCTGACTGAGGAGTGTCTCTTGGACGGTGTTGGCTGTTAAGTAAGGTCAGAGGTGGGGGATAGGGAGAGAAGGCCAGACAGAGAAGAGAGGAGGAAGGAAGAGGAAGAGGAGAAAGGTGGCAGGAAGGTAAAGAGGGGAGGAGGAAAGACAGAGATGGAGGGAAGAAAAGAAGCAGAGAGACAGATGGGGCATAGAAAGTGGAAAAGGGAACTTCAGGTCCTGGGGTGAGGGCTTTGGACACATTTGAATTTTAAATTAGCAGCTTGCCTTGGCCTGTTCCTCTGATTTGGCCTGGGTCTAGGAAGCTGATCAAGAAAGTGAACCTCTGCTGACCTCCATATGAGACTGATTGTTGGCTGGGGCTGCCCACTGCTTTTCTCACACTCAAAGAGAAACCCACACTCAGTCTCCTGGGGTGTAGACCACTGAAGACCGGGGACCAGGGCTCCCCATCTGAATGGTCAGAGGGAGGCTGCTGCAGCCCCAGCCCCAGTCCCTGCCAGCTGGCCCTCCCCATATAGGCTTCCAGGTGGTCACTGGGATGACTGTCACCAGCCCTGGGCACCGAACGATCCCTTGAGATTTTCTACACCCACCCAGATCTTTGGAAAGAGTCCTTTTTAAAACTGCCTCCCAATTCCCGAATTTGAGTGAGCCTGTCTCCTGCCAGGAGCAATCTGAAACGAGCAAAGAGTTTATACTCTTTACGTCAGCCTTGCTTCCAGGCCATCCCATTTCCAGCTAAGGAAACTGAAGCCCAGAAGGTCAGAGATGGGGAGTGATTTGTCCGAGGTTGCACAGCTAGGGATGGGGGAGCGGGGACTGGAAACTGCCCCAGCTGGATGTTTACATTACTAGGGCTTCAGAGAGACAGGGTGGTTCAGCAAAGGTGGACCAGGTCAGAGGTCAGGAAGGACTAAAGTTAACACTGCCACTGCCTATCTGGGTTCTCCTTATGCTGCAACCTCAGAGGCAGCCAGGAAACCCGCCTTCCTCACTCCCCACATCCACTACCCTCTACCTTCTGTCCCCACAACCAGTGCCTGGGGTCAGACTCTCTCATTCCCTCCCTCGTGGGCATGGCCAAAGCCTCCTGGCTGGCCTCCTGTCTCCATCAGCCTCACTACAGTGGGAGGGGCCTTTCTAGAGGGATCTTTCTAGCTCACTCTGATGCTCCTCCTTCCTAGGATCTGTCTCTGCATCCCCAGTGCCTGTGGAACAAACTCCAAAATCCTTTGGTATCAGAACCCTTCCCAGCTGGCCTTCTGCACCTTGCAGCTCAGCTGTGCCCTGCCATTCTGCACCTCCATGCCTTTGAGCAGACTTTCTCCACCCCCAGCAACCCTCCTCGGAGTCTTCTGTTCCCCATCAACGTCCACATGTCCCTCAAGATCCAGCCAAAGCGTGGTGCAGGGCAGGGTCTCAGTTCCACCTCCACCCCACCTCCCCTGCCCCCGACGCACACAGAGACCACCCCTCCCACTGTTGTCCCCACCTAGAATCTGTGTTCTTGCTTCTGGTGCAGCGTTTTTTGTTTTTTTGTGTGTGTTTTTTTCCCCCCGCTGTCTCAACTCCCTCAGAGAATGAACCATGGCTATACATCCAAAATAATCCATGGCTCTCCAGGCCTGGCATCACAATCGCATTGTGTCTTTCTCTCTTGCCATGGCACAAGCTTCTGAAGGATAGGAATGTGTCTTCATCCTCCAGACCTCCAGGCCTGAGGGCAGGGCCTGGTCCCCAACAGTGCTAAATACATTTTCCCTGGCTGAGCCACTGAGGACGGGTGATCCTCGACTGCACGAGTGAGGACTCTTCGGGCCCGCGGCTGCTGTGCAGCCTTGGGCAAGCCCCTGAGCCTCTCTGTGCCCATTTCCCTTTCCTTAAGTCTGGGGAGTAAGATCCTCTGCTTGCTCGTAAACATTTAGCTATCCTTTTCCTCCCTTTCCTCAGAGCCTAGGCCTTCTCCGAAGGGCTCAGACACTTTGTATTTTATGTGTATCCGGTGCCTTTAGAAAATTCTCCTCTTTGGGTTTGCTAAACCCTTCTGCAATGGCTTTATTCACACACAGAGGAGAGCTGGTTGGATCATGGAGGGACTGCTGATGGAGCCTGGGAGCCCCCAGTGCATACCCACGTGAGTTCTCTTGTCCGTCAAGGGCTCCAGCTCTTAAGCAAGCGGGATGGGCCACGGGAACCCCAGGCCTGTGGAGGCATCCTGGCCAAGGTCTCCACACCCTCCGGAAACCCAGCTGGGGGCATCCTGGATGGGGCTCTGCCTCTTCATAGAAACATCAAGCAGGGTTCAGAGCAGCCGACATCATTCTCTTCCTGTGATTCGCTTTTCCCTGGTGCCCCCCCACCCCCACCCCCAGCCTCCCCACCAATGTGCTGCCCCTCGCCGAGGTGGAAGTCATCCAGAAGCAAGGCTCTGTGAGGTATCTGGCTGGTGGACGACACCCCCCTGGGAAAACCTGGCCTCCCCCATCGCCTCATTACAGCCAGCTTTCCCATACACTGCCTCTGATTCACAAATCCCAGGAAGCCAGGAAGCCATCCACTTACAATAACGTGACTTATGATTTATGGTTATCATTACCAGGCCTTTTTCTTCTGTTTCTTTTTTTTTCAAAACATCTGATTTAATGGGGAAAATGCTATCCAGAGGAGCTGTGGGCTGTAAAAATGCAATAGCAAGGAAAAAAAAATGCTGCTAATGGCCTCTTCTAGTAACAGACCCTCAGAGATCAAGTCTCAGGGTTGTAACCGAGGCTTCTCAAGAGCTGGCCTGAGAAACAGACCGGGGCTCAGCTGCAGCCCAGAGGTAACCTCAGAAAGCTGGGCCTCCTTTAAGACTTGTCTCTGCCTCCTCACCTTCCATTTAAGAGGACCCTTAAAACAGAAAGGCAGATCCCATCTCCTCCTGCTTTTCTTCACCTTCGGGCCTCACCTGGCCACACAGTCAGCAATGAAAGGGAGGGAGGGAGCCTGGACTCTGGGGCCAGCAGCCTCTTGCCAGGCTTCTTGGCTGTTGGGGGCACCCAGCAGCTGCTGCTGGAGCTTTCAGACCTGCTTCTTCTCCTGAAATACAGGATCGACAACCCGAACACAAAGGCATCTCCTTTAACTCCTCTGAGCAGCCTGGGGTAATGGGAGCCCTGCTGTGTAGGACCCAGGATGCCTGGGTTCAGGTACTTGCTGTGTGACCCTGGGCAAGTCCCTTCACCCTCCAGATTTCCTTCTCCAGAAGATGAGGGAGGTGGACGAGATGATCATCTTAGGGACTTCTGGCTCAGCAGGGCAGGCAGGATTATGCCAGTTTTCTCTTCCTTGTGGAAATATAAGCTCTAAGAGTGCTGGATTCTGTTTCCCCTTAGCTGTGTGTATTTCACATGTGAATTCTGCAGAGCAGTAATTGGTGGCCTGAAGGGGGGACTAAGAATGACTCTGAGACCCCAGCTCAGCTGAGCTTGTCCAGGGCACCTCAGCTTCCCCACTCCGCCCACACGGTAAGCTCCTCCCAACTCTTGCTGGCAGGAAAGACATGTTCCTGGAGCCCACTGTTCCCATCCTCAGATGGGCCAGCAGGGCTAAGCATCCCTGGGATTCCTGCCTCCTGCGTACTCTCAGGAGAAGCAGGCCTGGCCCACTCTGGGACTCAGGCCCCAGGGATGGCTGCCTCCCCTCTGAGAGGCTCAGTCCTCAAGGGTAGGCGGTTGACTGCTCCAAGCCCACATCTGGATGGGTCTCTCAAAGCTCTGGCTGCCTCCGGAAGCAGAAAAGCAAACAGGCAGTTTCTAAAAACCAAATATTTTGCTTTTGATGGGCTGAAGGTCAGGATGGATAAACAGACTAAAGAGTTCTCCTACCAAAGGAGGTCACAAGCTGAGGGGCTGACTTCTGGACTGGACGGTGATTTAGCATCCTGCTGCCCCATCTGGACCTACCCAAGGGGACAGAAGTGCCCTGAGAGGCTAAAAGGGAGGACAGAATACAGCCAAGAGCACACTCCCCTCTCTTCCTCCAACCCCCTCCAATCCCCCCACTCCCCAGCCCCAAGGCTATTGCTGGGCAGGAGAGGCTCAGGCAGTCTTTAGCGCAGGCCTCTCTCCTGGGCACCTGCTGATTAGATCCCTGCTCCCACTCTCCCCACGCCTCCCTGCGATGTATCAGAAATAAAACTCAACCTCTCACCCAAACCTGCTCCTCCGTGGGCTCAAGACCGAGCTGTGGGGGTCATCCTAGGCCCCTGCTTCCCCCTTCATTCCTGCCCTGTGGGCTCTGTCTCCTCAGCCCCCTCAACCCGTTCCTTCCTCATCATCACGCTACCCCCGCCCCTCTCCTGGCCCCCCATCATCTGCAGAGCGTCCCGTCCAGGAGCCCTCAGTGGTCCCCCACCACCAGTGTGGCTCTCTCAGCAATGCAGGGCTGAGGGCAGACCCTCCGTGGACAGCCTGTTTGGAGGGGGGTGAGAATGTGGGTTGGGGGCTGCTGTGGCTGGGAGGACCCAGAGGAGGGCATGAGGCAGGAAGGTTGCTCTTCACAGCGAAGTGGGACGAGATTGGAGAGAAAGGAGCCAGAGGCCGAGGCGGGGGTGGCAGAGGTTAGAGGCCCACCCTGCCAGCCACTGGTGGTGTGCCCACGCAATACCAGTTGCTCCCGTGTGATTCAGGCAGAGCTACTCTCCACCCAGAGCCCAACAGCTCCCAAGCACTTATTTGCTCACAGCGTGTGGGAAGGGATGAGTGGTTAGAATTTATTAAGCCTGTGCAGGGGCTGGGTTCTGTGAGGACAGGGAGGCACAGAGAGGTTGCAAAACTTGCCAGCATCAGACAGTAGGGGGTGGAGGCAGGCTTTGAAGCCAGGTTTCTCGAACCCTCATTCACTCTATCACAGTGGAAGCAGCTACTTAAACTGTGCCTCAGTTTCTTCAACTTCAAAAAATGGATGGGGATGATGATCATTTCACCATCTCAAAGCAGTGATGAGGATCAGAGACGATGCTCGTGTAAGTCAAGGTCAAAAGCGCCAAAGCAAGATGGTCAGGGAGGGTCCTGGGACCCTAACTCCAGTCTGTGAGTCCCAGAGTGCTTTAGCAGGCACTGAGCTTCCTCCTACCATCATCACCACCATCACTGTCCCCATTAATGCAAATATTATAGAAGGATAATGGGAGAGTCTGAGAAACTGAGATTCCTGCCTCCCAGGCCCTTATGTTCTAGGAGAGTAACAGATCAGAGAGAAAAACTAGAAGCAACACCAATCCAAAAATGAGTGTGGGGTTGGGACTGGGCATACGGGCTTGCCAGGGGTCTGGGCAGGGTGCACACTATGCCTGTGGCTGGCACACTGCAGACCACGGGGCTCAGCTTGGTTTGAGATGGTTTGTACCTTGCTCTGCCCTCAGACAGGGAGCTCCGGGGGACATCTGAGGCCTGGGAGCCAGTTCGCAATTTTTACAAAGCACAGAATGAGAAAGGGTGCTGCCTCATCAGGAAGGTGCATTCCAAGAAACAATCTGGTCTTTGTAATAATCATTTTTTTCATGACTGTCTAAAATTCTACTGGTGCGTACACCATAATTTAATGTGCTGCAACAAGGAAAATGCTTATGATAGAATAGTAAGGGAATAGAGCAGACGGCAAAATGGCCCTTTCCTTCTGGCTACACCCATTTAATAGTCTACCCGCCATGGAAGGGAGCTGGCCAACACAAAAGCCGTTTTACAGGGCAGTTCTTTCCCACAATGCTGTTTAATATTGCTGCTGCACTGTTTTTGGTTTTTGTTTTTCGGTTGTGTTTTGGGCCTTCCGGAAGCCATAACAACTTTCCAGCCTTCTTGGCAAACTCTGTAAGTAACTTTTGGGAAGGAGAGGTGAAAAGGGGGCACTGTCTGGTTTTGTAGAGAAGCAACTGAGTAAACCCATGAATAAACACATAACACACAGCAAGAACCCCTCCACCTCCTGTTTGCACCCAGTGAGCTGGCGGGTGAGGCTAAGCCTGAAGGAGAGAGTCGGGGAGACAGCTGGCTACATCCATAACCAGGCTCCCTGGGCGTCACGACGCTAGGGACAAGGATCTCCACTGGGACCAGCATTGCTATTGGTGTTTTAACTCTGTCGGGGGTGACAGACAGTGTGAAGGGACCCTGCCTAATCACGATTAAATTTAAAATCCTGATTTGGCTAAACACTAAAGAGATATCCCAGTGTAACTCCCAAACTACTCTACTGGCTCAGGGAGAGGAAGACACCTCCCGCTCAGGGAATAAAATCATATTCTACAAAGGGACATTTAGGACTCTAGGGTGTAGCCCCGCATCAGGGATTCCAGAGCTCTTTCCAGCATCTCCACGGCTGAGACCTGTCCCTGTGGGAGAGGCTGAGTGACCCAGGACAGGGGCAGCTCTCCTCTGTGACCAGATAACCTGGGCCACATTTTACCTTCTGCAAGTCAGGGGAACTCTCCAAGCCTCAGTGTCTTCGTCTATAAAATGGGGCTGCCAGTTCCTGCCTTGCCCACCTCCCAGGATTCTTGTGAGGCTTTCAAATCTGAGCATGGATATGAAAGTGCTTTGGAGATGGTTAAACTGGGATGTTATCAGGAAGGTTTGTTCCTATGCAACTGGCAGACTCTGCTTGCCAAAAATCACAGTGTTTGTGAAATCTGCACCAAAGGCATGTGGCTACCCATTCTCCTTGTCTCCCTCCACTGGGAAGATATCCTGGCAAAAAATTCAGGCAATCTGGGCTGAGGAAGATAAGCAGAGGCTTTTTGGGGGAAAATTTGAACAACCACCACTACAAATAAACAACAACAAAAAAGTCATTTGGAGCACTTTGGTGTCATGCACTTTACATCCAATGTCTTTTCTAGTCCTTACCACAATCTGATGGGGTAGAAACTGTGCCTTTTGTAGATGGGGACGCTGAGGCACAGAGTGGTTAAGTAGCTAACTGCAGGTCACACAGCTGGGATAGGATTCCAGGACTGTCTGACTCTGGAGGTCACAACCTCTGCCACTAAGCAAATTGCCTCTCTGTTTGGGCAGCAGCCCTGGTGGCCACAGAGAAGAGGAAAACAGAGGTTGCTTTTGCTTTTCAATGAAAGCACAGAGATCCATGGGGCTGTGAGGGTGGGCAACATCTCTGTAGCAGTCAGCTGTTGCTGCGTAACAAACCATCACAAAACTCAGTGCCTAGAAACAATAACCATTCATTGTTACTCACAGTCTATAGGATGGCTGAGTGATTCTTCCATTCTCTGTGGTGAGGTGGAGGTTGGGTAGACAGCTGTGCTGATCTTGGCTGTAGTCTGGTCTGGGAAATCTTGGCTCTTACTCACAGGTCTTCTGAAGCCTTCCAGCAAGTTAGCCTGAACACATTCATAAGACAAAGGCAGAAGAGCAAAAGGAACATGAAAATACACCGGTGTTTTTGCAAGCTCTGCTTGAACCCAGTTGGTGACTATTCCATTGGCCAAAGCAAATCATAGGGCCAAGCCAGAGTCAATGATCTGGGAGGAACTACTAAAGGGCAAGAACACACAGAGGCATGAGAAACTGGGGGCATCATTAATATCCACCCTTCTGGAGGCACAGTCCCTTTGCAGAGAACCTTCCCTGTGGGCAATGCCAAACCCCTTCCAAAGCCCTCTCCTCTTCACGCTGCCATTTAATTCCCACCACAACCCTGGGAGGTGGCACAAAGCAGATGGACATTTCTGCCCTTTTGCACATGACGACACTGAGATCACCCAGCAAGTGCATAGCAGAGTCCCAACAAAAACCTGAGTCTCCCAAAACCCACATGGGCTCTTTCCAGAACACCAGCCCCCTGATTAATCTAATTCTACAGATTCTTTTTCCCCCCAATACCTTCAAAGAAGTCCTGTCCCCACCCCCCTACACCCACTCCTGGGCTTTCTCAGCCCTCAGCTGCATTCTCCCTCCTCCTGCAAGATTCTGGCCACCTCTCTGCCCTTACCCTTTGCGAGCTCTTCCTCCATTTGCAAGAAGCCCTAGCAGAATGGGGAAGCATGCCATTAAATGGTTAAAATTCCCAGTCTCTCATAAATATTTCATGAAAAATATCTGCTGAGATAACCCCAGACTGTTGATGTCGACATTATTGCACCTGCACATTTTAATTGGTCCAAGAGAGCTGGCCCATAATTGGTGCCTGAAAATCGGCACAAACCTGACTTGGTTGTAAATCGAAAGATTGGGCTCTACAGAGAATTTGGCATTTTAACTCTGATGTGGCCAAGGGACTGGAAAGGGTGGGTGAGGGTCAGATAGGGAAAAGAGGAAGAGGGGTACACCCCACTCAAATGTGCCAAGCCTCCAGAGGCCGCTAGTCCAAGCTTATTGTTCTGCATGGCTCTGGAAGCAAAGTGATGGCATAGAGGCTCAGTATCTGCGAGGGAGGTGAGCCTAGTGGTTAGAAGCACTGGCTTGAGAGCTGGGTCTCCTAACAGTTTCTATGCCATGACCCCTGCGACCGGCTGCTAGAGACTGTGGATCCTTTCTCAAAACAATGTTTTTAAATGCGTAAAGTATGCATGATTACAAAGCAAGTCAATTATATATATTTCCAAAAATAATTTAAAAATGTAAAATTAGAGGCTGGGCATGGTGGCTCATGCCTGTAATCCCAGCGCTTTAGGAGGCTGAGGCAGGCAGATCACCTGAGGTCAGGAGTTCAAGACCAGCCTGGCCAACATGGTGAAACCCCCTCCACTAAAAATACAAAAATTAGCCTGGTGTGGTGGTGCACACCTGTAGTCCTAGCTACCCAGATAGCTGAGGCAGGAGAATTGCTTGAACCCAAAAGGTGGAGGTTACAGTGAGCCAAGATCGTGCCATTGCATTCCAGCCTGGGTGATAAGAACAAAACTCCGTCTCAAAAAAAATAAATACATAAAAGTGGGATATAGCAATATATGTGCATTAAATTATTTATTAATGCATTACATTATAAGATCTAACATCAGGTCTACTAACTACTGTAATTTCAGAGTAGTGATGGGCACAAATGATAGTTCAAGATCTTTGTCACAATTACGGTGTGATGTGAAAATACCTGTGGTTTCCAGTGGCAATGAAGTCACAGGTGCTGTAAACAGAACTGTGGTATGTTGCTTACATTTGCACTTGAAGGAAATGCTACATTTTAGTTACAAGTGAGTGAACATAAAGTTGTATTTTGTTCCCACCCAAGTTCACAGACACCCCTCCCCCTACCCACCAACCCCCAGTTAAGGACCCAGCCTCAGAGCTTGCCAGCTCTGGTATTTACAGCTGGGTAGCCTTGACTTCCTTTGGCTTTGAGTTCTTCCTCTACAAAATGGGCTTTGGAGGCAGACTGAGCCAGCTTTAAAAACTGCTCTGCCACTTGGGGGTGCCCTTGGAAAGTGACCTGAGCTCACTAAGCCTCAGTTCACTGGTTGGAGGATGCGGTTCCTGACAGCAACTTCCTCACGTGCGGTTCTGGGACTTGGATGAGATACTGTGGGCAAAAGGCTCAAAACACATCAACCCACTGCAGCCTCAAGGAGCGACCTGGTGCCCAGCATCCAGCCTGGGCTGCTCAGTGTCGCCCCAGCCAACCTCGAGTGCTGGATACATGCACATCTTCTGTCCCGTGTGCATCCCCTGTGCTGGACTCTGTGGCTTCCCACCCCTGTCCAGCCCGAGGGCCCCAGAACTCAGGGACGCATCTGTCTCCAGACTAGAGCTATTCAAGGCCCTTTCAAATCAGTGCCCCTCAAGTGGCTAGGATAGGGAAGCCAGACACAGACCCATGTGGTAACTGGTGTATCTCGGCATTAGGTGAAAGCCCCACCTTTAGGATGATAAATACGTTTCTAACTCTTCAAACTGGGTGCTGGTGCACAGAGGCATCACCTCCCCCCTCTCCTGTGTCTGCTAAGGGGCCTGGTGTGCAGGCATCAGGTGTCTACAGGCTCTGGAGGGCTCGGAGTTCCCCCACCTCTGCCACTTCACACCAGCTCTGTGGTGGTAGGCGCAGGACAGTCCTCAAAAGTGACAGCCCCATTCAGTAGGCAAGGCTGGGCAGTGACTGATCTTGGACCCACTGGCCCTCACCAGGCCTCATGTAGACACACGAGGCACTGGGGCATCTATTATGGAGTGTCAGGGAAGGTTGCCATGGCTACCTCCCCCTTCAGGCTCCCACTCAGCCCAAGCCCACCCTGTCATTGACTGTCAGCTTCAGAGTCAGCCAGAGCCAAGCGGCAGCCCCTCCTCATCCTTCTCTGCTCAGAGGTGACCCCTCTGGAAGGCAGCTGCTCATACCCCCAAATCCTGGGGGAGCCCCTCCATTGCCCAGGAGATCCCTCTTCCTCTGGCACTTGCTGTGGGCTCTGGGGGGAGCGATCATCATCTTTCGGAGGCCTGCAGGGCCCATTAGTGCCAAAGACAGTGAGAGATGCTGGCTGGGGGAGCTGGGGCTTGGGGAGGGAGCTGTGGGCTGGCGTTGGGGAGGTGGAATCCTCTTGGGAGCACATCTGGCAGGCCCAGGTTGGGTAATTATGGGAGGAGGGATGGATGGCCATGAAGAATAGGGGCCAATGCCCCCAGCAGCCCTGGGTATTTGCAGGTTTCTGCTGCCAAGCTTCTTACAGCCCCCAGCTGGGACAAGTGAAGGGGGAGACTGTACTCCCTGGATGCCTACTACTTGCAAGCTTGCTTTATGGACACAACCTCATACTATGTCATGATGACTCTCTGAGGTAGGGGTGCCGTTTGATTCCCATTTTACAAACAGGAAACTGAGGCTTAGAAAGGTTACACGATTTGCTTACGGTGACAAAGCTGGGAAGTGATGGGAACCAGAATTCAAACCCAGACCCGCTAACACTTGAGACCTCCATGAACCATGGAATTCCCACTGCACGCCTGACCCTCAGAAGCTGCCTACCAGCTCCCAAGAAGCATCTCTGCACCGGGCACTGCTCTGCGCTGTGCAAGCATCCTACCTGCTCAGATCCCCACGGATTCTCTACTTTATAGAAGTGGACACTGAGACTCAATGAGGCCATGTCACAGGTCCAAGGTCACACCACTAGCAAGGAGTGGGCATTTCACCTGGATTTGTCCATCTCCAAAGACAGTGATCAAAGTTCAACTCAATTCAACAAATACTAATTGAACACTTGCTACGTGTCCAGCCTTGACCTAGGTGCTGCCACCAGAGCAGTGAGCTTACCAAGACCCACCTTCCTAGAGCTTCCCTCGTAGTTGTGGGGAACAGACAAGAATAACAGACAAACATAAATCATCTAGAGTATCAGAAGTGATAAGTACGAGGGGGAAAGCAGAGCTGGGTAAACAGGGCTGGGTGAGCCAGGAGTGCAGTAGGAGGGGGCTAGGCATTAAAGAGGGCAGACAGGGCAGGCCCCAGTACAAAGGAGGGAGGGAAGAAGGGAGGGAGGGAACCAGGTGAATAGCAGTACCTGCTGCATCACAGGTGCTTAATGAATAGATGCTGAAAGAATGAACTCATCATAGGAAGTGCCTGGTGGAGAGTAATGCGGTGCCGGCCATGAATAACAACAGCTGCCTCCTATAAGCACCTAATAGGTGCCTGGGCTCCCATTGGCACTTTACACACTTTACTCCTTTTCCTTACTTGTTCTTCATGGTGTGTGTGTGGACGCGACATTCAGGGCTCGATTGCTGTCTGTGGACTTACAGATGACAGGAATACAGAAGTGAAGCATGGGGCCTCACACCATGCCTGCCATGAGACGAGCCCTCAGTGTTAGCTCGTTCCCCAAGATGGCTCAGTTCTGCTCCCTCTGGGACTTCTGACTCTTCTGCAAGGGAGAAAGCTGCCAACCACAGCGATGTGTGCTGGACAGAACAGACATTCCTGTGGGTGTGGGTTGTGGCTTTGTGGTTAGGAGCCAATGAAGGGGCTGGGCCTCTGGCTCTAAAAGGAAAGTCCAGGAAATCAGGTTCCTCTCCAGCCTGCTCAGGGCATCTCAGCACAGCCTAAATCACTGTCTGCTGAGAGACCGGCAGAGGTGGTATTTTTGAGGTTAATGCCCAGTGAGATTTGGGGGTTGGGGGCAGTTGGAACATTATCTGTAGACTCGGCTGGCCGGGGAAATCCTGACAGTACTGCAAAAGTAAACGGTGCTTTCCTATAATTAGATACATATTTATTTTAAAAGGTTATAATTTTCTACTGGTTTGCTGCTTGATAAATACAGAGTTTATTATTTTTTTTCTTCACTGCAGCTCAAGAAAAACAAATCCAGGTTTGGACATGAATAGGAATGTCAGGATGACTCCGGGCAGCAGTTTTCTCCCAAACCCCACCAAATGCAAGTGCAAGATTGGATGG